CTACCTTTCGTGTGATTTCTTTAATCTTATGTTGGAGAAGATAATAAGAGCCGCAGAACTGAACCGCTCAGGCACAATACTTTATAAGAGCGTACAATTGCTGGCGTATGCCGACGACATCGATATTATCGCTAAAAACAAGGGCTACGTCTGTTCTGCCTTCTCGGGATTGGATAGAGAAGCAAAGCGAATGGGTCTGGTGGTGAACGAGGACAAAACGAAGTATCTCCTGTCAGCACACACACAGTCAGAGCATACGCGTCTTGGCACCCACGTCACTGTTGACAGTTACAAGTTTGAAAAAGTAGACGACTTCGTTTATTTGGGAACCAGCATTAACACCAATAATAATGTCAGCCTTGAAATCCAACGGAGAATCACTCTTGCCAACAAGTGCTACTTTGGGCTGAGTAGGCAATTGAGAAGTAAAGTCCTCTCTCGTCGTACAAAGATCACACTCTATAAGTCACTCATCATGCCTGTGCTGGTGTATGGCGCGGAAGCATGGACAATGAAAGCATCTGATGAGGCGGCTCTTGGAGTTTTCGAGAGAAAGATTCTGCGAAAGATTTACGGACCTTTACGCGTTGGCGATGGCGAATATCGCAGACGATTTAACGATGAGCTGTATGAGCTTTACAACGATATAGACATAGTGCAGCGAATTAAAATTCAGCGGCTCCGCTGGCTTGGCCATGTCGTTCGGATGGACAGAAACGCTCCTGCTCTGAAAATATTCAACGCGGGCCGCGATGCTGGGAACAGAGGAAGAGGAAGGCCTCCTCTGCGTTGGAAAGACCAGGTGGAGAAGGACTTGGCTTCTTTTGGCATTTTCAATTGGCGTCAGTTAGCACAGAAGAGAAATGACTGGCGTGCTGTTTTGGACTCGGCCAAAATCGCTTAGGCGGTTACAGCGCCAAATAAGAAGAAGAAGAATATTTGAAAGCATGTATACGTAGTCGGCAGTGGCTGAGAGTGCGGAGGAGCGTGTTAGTATTGCAAAAAAATGTTTTGGTTCTTTTCTGTACATAAATTTCTACCGGAAAAACGGATCGTCAAAGTATTCGAAAATGGAATAAGTAAACGGGAAAAACCGACCTTCATCCACTTTTTTTTCTTTTCCGGATCAATTTTCAAATTTTTTCCTGGCTGGGTTTATATCTGTCATTTCTTTTACAAGATAAAATTCATTGGGATCATCTAAATGGCTATACATCAGAGGCGGGCATTTTTTGATTTTCCAAACACATGTAATTGGGCTTCAAAATGCTGCTTCCTGCGACGTCGACACATGTATACTATCATCGTCTTCGTGCGTCTTACGATAATTGACAATTGACTGATGCTTCGCTGGCATGATTCAATAATACAAGGTTCAATAAACTGACAGTTGTCTCTCTCGCACCGCTCCCTTAGCAGTGTCACGGTGATGTTTCTTTGCAAATTTACTTGGAAAAAGTGTAGCTTTGCTGTGAAATATAAGTATAAGCTTTTGTGCAATTTGTTTATTTGTATATGCATATTAAGGACATTTAACTGATGAAAACATAAATTGTTTTTAAATCGGATGTTTACATAAATCTCATAGTAGTTTTATTTTAATTCTGAGTCCTTTTGCAGTTTGTATACAGCTAAATAGCACATAAATTACGTAATTCACGTAGATATATTAATATTTCGTGCAATATTTCGTTTAGAATGCCAGACTTCCTGCAAATACATACATTAGAATTCACAAAAATAATTTCACTACTTATTGGCTATTTTGTGTACTTATCTACTAACATTTTCATAACAAGCGATTGCTTTCTTCTCCTTTCTCTGTCCTTCGTAAATACAACCTTTTGTAAGGGAGTGTCAAACCGCGGCTGTCAATAATTATATAACCTTGTATTATTGAATCATGCTTCGCTGGTATTTCGGCAAAGCAAATCAAATCAGTTGCTGTTGAGAGTGTTCGGACGCGATAGTTTTCTTAGTAGAAATAAGCATGAAAAATTGTGGTACATTCCAAAACAATGTGGTAGATTCAAATAAATAAATTTATAAATACGTTATATGCACTTATGGTCAGTTGATTAAGTTAAGTGACATTTTGACCAGTTTTGGATATTTATATTTTTTGTTTATTTAATATTTATCTTTTTTTTTTGCTGACGGTGCTAGGCATTTTCTTCCATATAAAAGAAATTGCCAATCATTAAAAATAAACGCTATTTCTTAGCATTTGAAATTTGCACTTTGAGCTACTAAATTTTAATGGGCTATAAAACTGCATACCTAAAACTTTTCTAGAAATTCTAAATAAAAAGCCAAAGCGACAGAACAAGATGCATTTTTTAGAAATGATCTATCATTTTCTGATAGACATTGATACATAATTTCACGCATTGCGCATACCCATCCATGTTTTCTATGCAAAAACAAGTAAGAAAGTCTAAGTTCGGGCGGAGCCGAACATTAAATACCCGGCGCAAATATTAAATATATGTTTTTTCACCTTTCCGAAACCTACCGCTAGATGGTAAGCCGGGGTGTATCAATTTTGAGTAAATTAGCGTCCTTCAATTTCGAAATATTGAAGTTTCAAGCATTTCTGAAATTTACCGTTATATGAGAAGCGGCCGTTATTTTAATCCGATTTCAAAAATTTTCAACGTTTTGCTTATATGTGGCAAGCACAATAACCACACCGAGTTTGGTACAAATTGGTAGAACGGTTACCGATATACTTATATGAGATCATAAGTGGGCGGTGCCACGCCCATTTTCCAAAGTTGCAAGCATCAATTTTGAATAAATTAGCTTCAATATTTACTGATTTATCGAAGATTTTGTATTTCCCTAAATTACCGTGGCTGTTGAGCAAAACTTCGCTGCTTCGCACACAAGCGCATGTGTGTGATAGTGTGAGTGCCCACCTCTGCTATACATACATACATATGTATATCATCAAAGAAAACATTTAAAAAAATATCAGCTAATTTTTTTTGCGGTTAAATAAAAAAAGTTTTTTATTGGGGGCGTGAGTGGAGCTCGGATCCAAATAAAATACCGGAGCGGAGCGATAAAAAAAAGACCTTTGCTGCGAAGCCCTGGAAAAAGTGCTTCCCTGCATGTCTTCTCCAAAGGGTTTTCATATTTACAATTTACGCGAATGTATTTGATTGTAAAATTTTGCATGCAATAAGCATTTTAAGCTTCAATAAAACATATTTGATATGAACATTAAATAAATTCCTTAAGAATGATTTTTATGGATTAAAAGAACAACTTTCAAAGTTGGGTAGCGAGCAGAAGCCCTTCAATATGTGCCACTCCATACAAAAAAGAAAGGAGAAAGGAATGACTTTAAGAAAAGCCTGAGATTTTGTCTACTGGGTAGCACTTTTGACCCTTAAGCCATGAACCCATGAACGAAAGACACAAGATCACGCGGGAAGGAAAGAACGAAAAAAGTTATTTTCTAGCTGCCGAAATCTCGACGCCATCTTTGTTGTAAGAAGTAAACAACGAAGAGAACGGAGAAAACCGCGAAATTGTGGAACGCATGAAAAATCATTTTTATTATGTAAATTCTTCTATAAATCATGCCGTTGTGTTAAATTATTCTTTATCTTATGTGTACACACGTTGTCACAAGCGAAAATGAAGAAAATTGCAGTAAAAAGCCACGACCAAATTGTAAACAACGAAGAAATGTAAACAAACGGCTAATGTCAAAATCGCTCAACTTGTTTCCTAAATGCGATTCTAACGGGCTAGTCTCCTGCCCGCGTGATCTTGTCTTTTTGGTACATGCCCTGTACCTATGTTAGAAAGAACCATTAGTTATCGTTTTTCGATTACGAATAACAGAAAGCTTAATCTGCCAAATATGAAATGCATTGACCTTCATTAAAAAACTAGGACAATTTAAGTGTGGACCAGGACACCAGGACAAATCCTGGAAAACCACGTCTGGACGACTGGCAGCCCTACCATATATGTATATATCCGTCAGTTGAACTAAATGAACAAGTTCACTAAGGTGAACGAACTACAACTGAACGGTTCACTCAAAATAACTAAGGTGCCCGACTCTATTACATATACAGTCCGGCGTTTACCGAAGATCCGTAATACAGAACGAAATTTTACACTGAAGATGGCACAACGACGAAATGGGGTTTTCTCTAAACCAAATTTGACAAGTGATGCCGGAAATTCAGGTGCACGAAGTCAAAGGTCATCGGGGAACATAAATCAAAAATATTCCGACGAATTGTAATTTCTTCAATTTTTAAGTCGGTTAAAAAATATCACGCCAAAAAACCTTTTCTTTGACAGGTAAGTCAATCTTTCTAGATTTTCGAGATTCTCGAGGCTTTTTACAGCTTATAATTTGTGTTTTTTTAGAATACTAGATATTTATTACTCAAAGAGGGGAATAAAATATCAGTTAAGAGGAAAACTAAAACCACCCTTTGAAATACAATTCCAAGAATTTGTAATTTACTTGAGTAAACTAAAAATAAGTAAATTTGCTTGCCTGAAAATTTTTGGCGTTCATGTTCCCAAAATATCAGCCAAAAAGTTTTACCAGCAAGAAAAGCAGCTGATCAAAATCAACTGACTGTTTATGAAAATAATGGAATTAATTTAAATTAAAAAGTATATTTTCACACGTTACCATTAAAAACCGCCCGTGGTAATTTTAAATGTGCCTTCTTGTTCAGACAACTGGCAAGTATTTGCAAATTTTGGGTTCGCATAGTATTTGTATTTAACCCTATGTGAGACAACATATACAAATTCGCTAGAATTTTGCAGCTATAGAATTTTTACTGGAATAATACGCAAAACAAAACTACAATTTCATTTAAATAGCAGATATCAAAGAGCGAAAGTTCTGTTTAATCTACAAGGGCAATCGGTATTGAGTTCGGGGTTCAGTATCTTCAGTTTAAGAAAATGTTGATGGGTAAAATCATTTATTTCAAACATCACGGGTTACTTACCTTAAAATCAGATAAAGATGCCATTAGGTCGTCCAACTCCTTAGTGGCAGATGACGCATACCCAGAAGGCGCCGCTTTGTTTGGCAAATACGTGTCTTGATGCTGAACAATTTCCTTTTCAATAAGACCGACTTCAAAAAGAAATTTCAAGGTATTAAAGTCAATTTCAGATGCTCAGAAAAAGACAATTCAGCTTACCTGGTCCATCCGGTTCCAGAGTTTCCGTTTTTGTCTCACGCACTGTAATGCTAATGTGCCGGCCAGGAGTCGGCGACTTAGTAAGGCTATTAAATATTTAAATTAAGCTTTCAAGAAACAAATTAGTTTAAGTTTTGTAACTCACCCATTGGGTACCGCATAGTTTGAGGCATTGTCCATTTCACTAAGAAGACTATCAATTGTTGGCCGCTTATCGCTGGAATTGTAAGTGTTATACTTGGAGACGGAATTATAACTCGTTGGCACTATGTTTTCTAAAATAAGATAGAAATTTAAATCTTCGAATACTGAAAAATCTTTTCATATTCAAAATTTTAAGTTGTGTGTAAAGTGAATCAAATACTGCTACAAAAATGCAGCTAATGCTCACACTAAATACACTGCGTTAGCTTTTTCTACTTTTTTTCGACAGACACACATGGGGTATTTGGCCGATTTACAGCCTAACCTAATATAAACGCACGCCGTTGTATACGCACGCTGTCTAATTTGTTTTTCTGCGTCACCCGAAATTGGCTTGCGTGCGTTGCGACAAGTCAAATCAAAATGTCACGCAGAACAAAAAATAGGAAATTGAGTTAGCTTTTTACGCACGCCGTTCAATTTCAGTTAATACCATACGAGTTGTATGCACGATTGAGAGAAATAGAGATTGCGCCCATCGCAGTACCGCTAGTCCGCTCTTTGTGAATTTGACAGAATCAGCTGTGTGCGTGACGTCATCTTGGTGCAATTGTTGATTGAAGACAACCAAATAACTATTTAACTGGGTACGGTTTAGTTATTTGCCCAGTGATTTCGGGCTATTGTACCCGAATAGGTGACCCGATCCAAAAAAATATGCACAATAAATGTTGAATACCTTTGACAATAGAAAGGTGTTCTGCACAAAAATACTGTTTATCGAGTTTACATTTCCTGGGTCAAAATGCTAATTTTAGACCATTTTCCAATGGTTCACCAGGGGTATGTAGAAGGTTTCGAGGGATCAGGTGTAACTTTTTACAAAGTGTGAACTGTGCTCTTTCTAGTGGGTTAGATATCAAGACTCACGCCCCCTCGCCCTCCGCCCACTAACGCAGAAACAGTATATTGATGCAATTTTTTCATGTTAAGTCGTTGAAAAATAATAAATATTTAAATCCGGGATCCCGGGATCGAACCAACGACATCCCGAAAATCCCGGGATCGTAAAAATCGAAAAAATTAACATCCCTACTACATACATATAACTTCATGCATTTTATATAACAATCAGCATTTGCTGAAAATCATACTTACCTAAAGGGCTACATGCCCAAAATCATTGCTACGTGTTCCTATTTAATTAAACTTTGCATATTTATTAATTCCTGCAAAATTGGACCATTTAATATTGATATTAGCACATTATTCGGCATTGTTTACATATTTTCCTATGCGTTTTGGCATTTTTCTGCCACAATTGCACCAAGATGACGTCACACGAAAATTACGCTCAAAAATCCTTTCTCATGGGCGTAATCTTGTATTCTATCATTCTTGAGTTGTATATGCATGAGAAATTTTTGACAGTAAATTGGCGTGGAGGACGTCCATTAACTCCATCAAAGCAAAGAAAATAAAGTGACCTCAAGTTTAACATCGATAGACTCTATGCTGCCGTGGTTCGATTGTAGGAACATGCATACCTACGTGTTCGTCTCGACGGGAAGAAGGTTTATATCAAAGTTAGAACATTACAAGTTTCCACCTGCTAAGAAATTAAATTAAACAACATGTGGGAAGGTTGTCACATGTTTGAAACTTAAATTCAGCTTTAATTTAGGGAATTAGATAATTCAAATATGTATCACAACATAGGTAAGAAAATGTAATAAAACTACATTTTTGTAATAATAACAGTAATATAACAGTCTTATATTTTGATAAGAGATTATTGTATGTATTAACTTGGAGTAAATTAGCGTCCTCAATTATTGAAATATAGGAGTTTTCGTATTTCTGAAACTTGCCGTTATACCGGAATCGGGTAACCGATTTCAATTATTTTCAACGTATTGCTTTTTCCGTACCAAGGTAATTAAATGCACTAGTTTGGTAGAAATTGATAAAACGGTCACCGAGATACACATTTGTTGTTATAAGTGGGAGGCACCACGCCCATTATTCAACAATTTATGATAATCTAATTTAATGCTAATGGAATAACCCAAGCAGCGATTTTGAGTGAATTAGCTTCAGTAGTTACTGATTTAGCGGAGTTTTCGTGTTTCTGTAAATTACCATTATAAGGGAAGTGGGCGTGGTTATTGCCCGATTTCAAACAGATTTATTAGATAGACCCTAAGCAAGGCTCGTACCGAGTTCGGTAGGGATTGGTGAAACGGCTACTGGGATAAATCGTTTCATCAAATGTCATAATTATCTCCATTTTCCAAAAATGGCATAATAATCTTGGTTTATTATTATTGTTCAAGTGAGTTGCGCCCACTTGAAGGATGCATCCCTGCGCATATTTTATTCCTAAACGCAGCCCTGCACGTTAACCGATTCAAAGCATCGCTGGTTGGATTTTCCATTTCAACTCCTAGTGCTACCAATAGACATACTGGAATCGCATTCCAGTGTCGCCTATAAAGGCAACCCGCGCATTACCATCTTCCTTCTTTTTCATCAAGCAACTCTAACCGAAGACATCAGGGCGGCGACCATTTTCGGTTCAGCGTGGTAATTTATTAACCTATCGTCCATCATCAACTTTCACCATCGTGATCATTTCAATTAAATTTATACATTTATTGAATTCATGAAATTTCTAAAAGCTCAAACAGTCAACGACGTAACGTAGACGTAGGTTGACGCAGACACGATCTACCTTATGGGATTCGCGTGTTAACGAAAACTCACCACCGCATGGCGGTGACGTCGCCGTTGCTTCTCTCTCTCTCTGTCAACAGTAAATTTGATATGCTGCTACGTACGTCAACCTACGTTTACGCTACGCCGTTGACTAACTACGCTTTAATATTAGGTTCTTTCCCGTACGCAACGCGGGATCCCGCGGGTGCCCAAAATAGCCCAGAAATCATTACCGTATTCAACAAAATGATCGTAAGTACCTTCTTCTTCCTGCCCGAAACAGCCTGGGTAAAAATGTATAAAGCGTCAAAGTGCATATCAGCTGTTTTGTGTTTACGTGACGCCTGCATTTACTTGGTGCTTTTAAGGAATAGTAAATGTATTTTCAATCTTTATATTCTTAAAATCTAATTTGTGAAACAACATTTAAGTGACAAAAACAAAAACAACGCGAATCAACTGTTTCTTAAATTCTGGGCACGAAATGTGGTTTTTGCGTTCCCGTACTTCTGGATTATGTTCCATTTCTGAGAGCAAACTTTTCGCTTATTTTCTAGTTACCGGATCCATTCCGGATTGTTATTGTTAATAATTATCTAAATTCATCTTATATCTAATTCATTTACTCACTCAGTTTCAACATTCATTCCATTTTCATTCAAATCATTCACGTCTAAAATCTCTTAGAATAATTTAAAATAATAATTAAAATATAAATACGCAAACGTCAAGCTGTGAAGTTCTACTTATTTGTGCCTTGATTGGTCTTTGTATTTTGCAAAGTTTATTGTGCTAATTTTGAGTAAAAGTTGCTATAAAAAGTGCCTACGAGCATCTTAGTGTGATAATAACCGAAGCTAAGTGAAAGTTTTGTAATTTTTGTGGTTTTTATTAAATTTAATTAAATTTCACTAGCTTACATCTAATCTTGCCGAGTCATTTGTTGTTATCATTGTTGTTGTTATTCCTTTGTAGTTAACTGAGATCGTTTCTATTTTTGCACATTTCTTTTTGCTCTTTTTGTTTACTTCGTTTAGTATTTCTTGTCACAGCTGTTTGCGCTGCGTTTATTAAGTGTCACATTACAGTGATACTCAAACTGTTCGCTACATATATTTTTAAGCTAAATACATCAGCTCCTGAATTGTTGTGTGTGTTGTGTTAAACTTATTTTGCTTGTCTTTTTATTAACATAAGTGTTATTAAATCTTTCAATATGAAGTGTGATCTTGATAACTGCCAAATCAAAAGCGAATCTGAACGCTACTTATCGTGCTGGCTCTGTGATGGTATTTGCCATCTAAAATGTGCTGGTTTGACAGGAAGAATTCTGGACGCTATTAATGATGGCAAAGGTCTTCGCTGGTCTTGCTTAAAGTGCAGGTCAACCGAAGTTGATCTCTTTAAGTTGTTTAGGCAAACCAGAAATGGGTTTTCTGAAGTAGGGAGGGAGTTGTCGGTACTGACCGAAAAATTTAAACATTACGAAAATGTATTTAAATCTTTTAAATGCTTAGATACCGTACAATCTATGAAGGACATTCGTGTGTCAAAACGTAAGCGTCTTCATAGTCCGCCTAATGAAACGACCGTTCCACGTCAGAACACTCTTCCGAATGACTTAATTAATCTTTCTTCTCCATGTCCACAGACAACGGAGTTATCTTCCTCAAAAGAACATATATCAAAGCCTGCTTCTAATAATAACGACCCTGCAGTATCTTCCCCGTCCCCCGTTGAAGTTGTGGCACCGCCATCCAATCTTCCAACGCTTACTCTACCCTCAACTAGTAACGCAGTTACTCAACCCCGTCCGCCGGTAATCGAGTCTGATACTAGGAGACTGGTTGTGGTTCCCCCAAAGAAGTCTATATTTGTATCTAGATTTTCGAGGGATACTTCCGAGGACGATATAAAGTTTTACATCTCGTCCAAAGGTAAAACTGTCAACTTAAGTATCAGAAAATTTAACTTTAAATATGAAAGAAATATTTCTTCATTTAAAATAGACGTAAATTTAGAAAATTTTGACATGCTGCTTAGTAGTTCTTTTTAGCCCTCCGGAGCTTTCGTTCGTGAATTTGAGTATAGGCCCAACAAAAATAATAATTTAGCAAATATTCCCCGTCAGAATACAGAACCAAAAAACTGATTACTAAATCTGCTTTAAGTATTTATTATCAAAACGTAAGAGGCATAAATACTAAATTAACGAATTTATATCTTAATGGCCTTGAATGCAATTATAATATAATTTCTTTGACTGAAACTTGGCTCAAACCTCACACTTTTAATTCAGAGATTCTTTCAAATAATTATCATATCTACAGAAAAGATCGGGAGGACAGAGTCGGCGGTGGCGTACTCTTTGCCGTAGACTCTTCAATACCATCTGAAGAAGTTAGTCTTCGAC